ATGGCTGTCATGTATTTTGGAATTTTACATTAAATAACTTACTTTTTCTAGAGTTTTTGAGAAGTTTGTAGTCATTACAAACATCAGATTATAAAACCAAACCATCCTTCCTACTATAAGCCCTCTTTGTGATTATTCGTTAGTGGCCCTGCCATTTACCTAATGGCAACATGGTATACACACATAATTATGTATAAATATGTATAAACAAAATATGTATCTGTTTAAAATAGTTGGGGGAGAATATGTAAGAAATTGGTTACATTGGTTCCCTCTGAGAAAGAACTAGATGGCTACAGTCAGGGTTAGAGGAAGACTTACTGTATGTCATGTATCTTAACTTCTGAACAATGTGAATATAACAAACTTTACTGCTAGAAATAGTATCAGTGACAATCCCTGCCAACAAATAGCTAGAAAATATGATCTTTAAAATTTATTTATCATAAAAACAAATCTTTAAATAAAAAACATAGAAGGCACAGAAAATATAAGGTATCAAGAAATATATGTAATAAAGAGATGTAATTAATCTCTAAATACAAATCTATTTCAGTCAAAGTCTTGGCAGGATTTTTTGTGTAACTTTGCAATTCTCATATTTCCAACCAACAATGAAACAGACATCTAAAGCCTCCCTATGATGTAATAATCATGCCAGGAAGGTTTGACCCAAATCTACTGATGAGAAAATTATCAGATAAATCAAAATCGAGGCGAAAATATTATGCAAAGCAACTATTCCTCTTCAAAAAGAGCAATATCCCAAGACCAAAAAACCATAGAATAGGGAAATGAGACATAGCTAAATGCACTGTGTGAAACTTGACTGAGTCTAGATTTAAGAGATATAATTAACATAATTATGGACTATATGTAAGTATTATGTAAATGTTAAACTTTGTGAGTGGGAAATAGTGTGGTTATGTAGGAGAATGCCCTTGTTCTTAGAATTATGATAAAATATTTATTAGTGAAATACAATATCTATAAATCTCATAATTCAGAAAATATATATATGCACATATATTTATAACTGCATATAATGGAGGATCAGTATCAGAATGAAGGATTACATAGTAAAAAGGAAAAATGAGTCATCTACAAAGAAACCTGAATGACCAACAAAATGGCAACATAGTAAATGAGGCTTGCAAGCCAAAACTCTTTCACATGTGTTTGAAAAGCTTTCCAGGACAATAGGCAACAACTGGAACCCAAATGCCCCTCTGATGGTAATATAGATTGAAACTATCTTGGAGATAATTTGGTAATACTTAATCTGGAAAATGCAGAAATCCTATGAGCCAGCAATCCCACTCCTAGGCCTGTACCCTAAAGAAACATGTGTACCTCAGGAGTTGTGTACAAGAATGTTTGTAGCAGGGGCGCCTGGGTCGCTCAGTCGGTTAAGCGCGTCAGACTGACTCAGGTCATGATCTTGCAGTTCGTGAGTTCCAGGCCTGTGACCGGCTCAGATTCTGTGTCTCTCTGCCCCTGCCTCTCACTCTCTGACTCTCAAAAATAAATAACCATAAAAAAAAAAATTTTTCATTGCACTGTAATGGAAAGCCATTGGTAAATTGTTTTCATACTGTGAAGTATATAGAGAAGTTAAAAAACTAGATATAGAAGTATTGATGTGGCTGAAACTGATAGAATTGAGTAGAAAAGAGGTTGAAGAATATATGTAGCGGTACTAATGATACAGTGTTAAAGCTTGCGGAAAAAAATACTATGGATGGCTTGAGGATGTGTATCTAGTAGAAACAATAAGTACCAAATTCAGGAGAGTAGGTATCTCTTTGGGGAAGGGTCGCAACATGAGAGATGTACAGGGGCTTTCTATTGTGCTTTTTTTCCCCTTAAATTGTGGTAGGCACCCACGTATTTATGTCAATTTACACAAAAAATAGGAACTATGTATTGAGTACCTATCACTGGAGAGAACTTGGGAGAACTTTATGCTTTTGCATTCAAATATTGTAGATCTGTGTACATATTAAATATTTCGTTTTAAAACTTTTAGTGAGAAGAAATATGAGAGAGTAAAACTTCAACTTTTAATTTTATTTTTGAAACTTCAATTTTAAAATGGTAAAGGTGGTCTCTGGAAAATCACCCAAAAGCAGTAAAGAGATGGAAAAGCCCCTTTGTCCGAGAAAACTGGAAGATTTTTGAAACCGCTAAGTAGAAACCGCAAAAGAGTAACAGTTTAAAAGTATAGGGTATAGGCAGAAGCGCATCGCAAGGTTTTAAGATGAAGATTCTTTTACGCCCCATCCACCCGCCATTTCATCGCACTGCTGGTTACAGGAGTTATCTTGGTTTTAAACTGTCTGAAGGACTTAATGAAAAGATGCAATGAACACTGCCTGTTTTAGGTGTTCAACCCACCTTCCGACTGGAAAATGTACATTCAGGTGCTGAACGGTTAAGAAACAAACGGTGAACCCTATTTCCATTTCTCGAAGAGACTCAATTACAAAGACAACACCGACGAAGGTGGCAAGCCCCGCCCCCACTCAGACTGGGGCGGGGCGAGGGAGTGAGGCGATATAGGTCTGGCGAGGGTGCGCCCAGGAGCTTCACACTGCGAGTAGCGGGGGAAGCATAGCCGAGAACTTGTAAAGGCAACGACAGGGGGCGACCCTACTTGATCTGCGCAAGCAGCAGCACAACCCAAAACCTACCAACGACCGCGATCCTCCCACTACCTGCCCGAAGGCGCCTGCGCGCTGAAAAACCTCGCCCTTGGAGTCACCTGTTGCTTCGTCACGCCCACCTCGTGTTGCGCATGCGTAAAGCGCGCCTTACGGGCCACGGAGTCACGTGTGAGGGCGCGAGCCGTCTCCCGCAGAGTCGCTTCCTGTCACGGCAGCAGCCACTGCTGCCGCGGCCGCCCGGGGGCCGCGGGAGCCCTGGGCGGTGCCGGGTGGATAAGGCCCGGGCAGGTTTTGGATCCGCCGCGAGGTATGCAGTGTACCTGCCCCTCGGCGAGGGGAGATACCGGGCGGCGGGGGAGATGGAGGCGCTGGGGCAGGGCAGGGCTGCGCATCCTGCCGCGTCGGAGTAGGGTCCCTCGGCTTCGTCTCCCCTGCGCCTTCCGCTATCTGCTTCTCTCCCGAGCCCCGGCCCAGCATCGACGGCCCCACCCGATGCCCTGGAGCCGCAGACTCGGCATGTCTGACTGACTTGGTCTCTTCTCCGAGTCCGCTCACTCCGTGCCCTCCGCTCAGGTGACCGCCCGCCATTCACCTAAGTTAGTGAACTCTGACGCCTGGACTCACCCTGAGGGCCCCCATCCCGTGTGCCCACATCCAGTTAACGTCGGAGCCCCGTTAATTTTACTCTCTGACTGTGGAATCCATCCGCTTCTCTGCCTCCCGTGTTCCCTTTGCTCACCTCTTTTGCTGGGACCGTTGCGAGATGCTCCGTACCGAGAAGGCTTCCAGCCTCCATTCTCCCTCCTACCTCTTCCCCTCTGTAGCCAGAGGGAGGTTTCTAAATCGCTGACCTGGTCCCTTCACCTCCGCTGCCCCCAGGATAATGCTGAACGTCCTTTAGGCTTAAAGGTTTTTCTGTTTTGCTCCTTGTACAGATTTTCAGCTTCGCTTATACCCTTTCTTGGCACACACTTTATGCCCCAGTAGGTCTTTAGCTTTCTTGTGCAGGCCAAACTGTTTCTTTCTCACCTTGGAACCACTGTCAGGTTGTTCGCTCTGTTTGGAATCCCATATCCCTTGCCCACCTCCTACTTTTTCATGACTCAGCACAAACATCACTTTCTCCAAGATGCCTTTTCTGTTTGTGCTGGGTAAGTGGCCACTTCTGGGGATTCAGGGTCCCTGGAGAAGCCCTGTGTGGTTTTTGTCCACTGAAGAGGCCGTCCCCACCATGATTCATTCCTGCTCTCCCAGTGTCCAGCAAGATTCTTTCACATACTCCTGTGAAAGGTTGTGAGATCTCTGAATCAGAATGCTGAGTCAGATTTCTCTAGAGCAGAATGTCGCCTGGAACTTTGTGTGGTGATGAAAATATTCAGTGTTGGTGCTGGCCAGTGGTAGCTAGTAGCTGAAGAACTGGACTTTAAATTGTATTTAATGTAAAGTTAAAAGTCATATACGGCTACCATGTTTGGCACAGCTTTAGAGACTTTCTGAATCCTACCCAGCTTGTACCAGCCCTGTCCCTGAATCTGCTTTCCTGTGCCACTCCCTCTCACTCTACCTCTCTGGTTTAATCCAGATTGGTGAATCAGTTGAGTAAGTTTTACTGAGTCCACACTCCCCACTTAAACCCATTAACAGGTGGGTCCTATCTCTTCTGTCTCCCGTGTTGCTTGCTTCATTGCTATGATTCCAGCATTAATATTTCATCCTTTGGTGTTAAACATTGCCTTTTTTCTCTGGGAGTTTATTAACCACACCTTACAAACAGGTTGCGTTATTGGAGGTGGGGCTTATGGGGTGCTTTGGTCTGAGTCTCTTCCTCTCCCCACCAGACAGGTATCTAGGCTGTCAAGATGCCGGGGCCACGAGCTCGGAAAGGCCCTCAGGCCAGTGGCCAGGGTGTGGCAGCTGCAAAGCAGGTATGGACACAGCCTCCTCACTCCTCTGCCTGAGGTGGAGGGTCTCTAGACAGCTTGGGCAAACTGGCTCACCTGTTTGGCTTCCCCTTTAGTGCAGAGACTTTGAGCAGTTCTTCCTGGAGTTGGCAGAGACCCTGTGACGAGGCCCTGCCACCCACCTGTGGGAGATGAAGCCTGAACTCTGCTGTGTTTCAACCCAGGCATCCTGCCATCTGTCTCCATATGAGTGATCTGGAGGGTTCAGGAACCACCAAATTTAGGGTGTTCTGATGGGGGTGTCAGCACTGTTATGGGTTTCTCATTTAGCGCCATGATTTTGCTTGCTAGCCAAGGATACCGGGGCTTGAGGACTGTGCCACTGGGAGAGCTGCGCTGCTTAGGGACACAGGGCTGTGACCCAGGTGGGAGACTGAGAAGTCTATTTTCTGCTCCCTTTATTTCTTCTGGGTCCAAGTCCTGAAACTTCTTAGTTCGTTTTTATTGTCTTAACAGAGGCGAGTAAGGGAGGTTGTGTGATAAAGAGCATAGACTCAAGTCACAAGACCTTTATTTTTAAATTCTAGGTCTGCCACTTACAAGGCTGTCTCAGTTTCATCTGAACATGGAGATAAAAATAGGACTACCTTTTCCTAGAGTAGACAAATTCATAGAGACAGAAAGTAGAATGGTGAGGGACAGGGGGAGGGGGAAAAGGGGAGTTGTTTAATAAGATGGAAAGAGTTCTGTGGATGGATGATGGTGATGGTAGCACAACACTGTGAATGGGCTTAATGCCACTCACTTGCACACTTGAAAATGGTTAAGATGAGGGGTGCCTGGCTGGTCAGTGGAGCAGGTAGCTCTTGATCTCGGGATCCTGAGTTCAAGCCCCATGTTGGGTGTAAAGCTTACTTTAAAAAAAATTTTGGTTATGGCGATAATTTTTATGTTGCATTATGTTTTACCACAATTAAAACAGGACCTACTACTCAGGATTGTGAGACTTAAATAATCATGTAGAGTGCTAAGTACAATGCCTGGCAGCCAGTGCTGTTATGCTGTGAGTAATAATAATGGCAGTGTAGTCTTACTGGGTTCTTTATAGTCACCAGGAAGATGATTTTCCCAAAGGCTAATGTTTCAGGCCTCAGTTTCCCTATCTGCACATTGGGCCTCACACATAGTGAAGGAGTGACTGATTGCCTGAGACAGGCTCTGGGGCTGGGCCTCATTGTGTGGTTCTTAAGAACCCTTCTCTGCTCTCAGCTGGGGCTCTTTGTGGAGTTCAGCCCTGAGGACATGCTGCTGGGGATGGAGGAGACTGAAGATGACGGGGACCTGGAGGCTGAACTGCTGGCCCTCACTGGGGAAGCAGGGGTCACAGGCAGGAAGCCAGCACCCAAGGAGCCGGGTGAGTTTGTGTCATTGGGCTGGGACCACATGGGCTCAGACAGGTAGAGAGTTTCTCTCCTCACACCTGGTAGGAGCCCGTTAGTTTTCTTGGTCCTTCTGATAGCTCTTCTGCAGCATTCCCACCAAGAGGCCATCTTGCCCTGTGTGAAGGGAAGCTCACTCCTCTCACTGCCCACCCCCCCACCCCCCATTGTGGACAGTCAGCAGTCTGATTCTCAGACTGACTCAGGTCTCTGTCTTAGCCCTAGCCAGGGTGCAGTATAGAGGAGGGGCTCAGCATGGATTGCATTGGGCACATAATAAATGCACAAAAATTGTGTCAAATGAGTTAGTAGATGGTTAGATGAGCCTGGGTATGAATCATCACTCTGCCACTTACTAGGATTGCACTGTTAGGAAGATTAACATTGGTTTTATTATCAATTCATTCCTATAAAATGGAGATTGTATTATTTATCCTGAATAATTGTTGTGAAGCTTCAAGGGATGTTAAAAATCTTACATATGTGAAAGGTGTAGTTGGGAGAATAGATGGACATCTCTGTGAGTAACTACAAGACAAAAATGCCAAGAAGGGAGCAGCTTATTGCTTGTTGGAGGACTCAGGAAGCTTTCCCAGCTGAGGGTCTTTTGAGCTGGGTCATAAAGGAAGAACGGGAATTTTCCAGGTGGGACTTTGACTGTGGAAGGGAAGGAGGATTTCTACCTGGGTGTGTCTTCTGTCACAGTGGATTGAAGACACTCCTCATGGACTTTTTCTGAGTTGCCCTGACCCTCTGTGACTCTCTTCCCTCAGCCCCCCTGCCTATGGCCCACATCGAGAAGTTGGCTGCAGACTGTATGCAGGAGGAGGAGGAGGAGGAGGAGGAGGAAGGGCTGGAGGAGGATGCAGACTTGCTGGTGCGTCTGTCAGGCTTGCTTCTGAGGGCTCTGTGGTCAAGCCTGTGGAATGGGCCTGGGGTTTGTCTCATGTGTTCTCATGTTGAGTGAGTGCCTTGCCCTTCTTGGGCCCATTTTCCTAACTACCTTGTAAGACTGATCCCCTTTGGTGTGTGGTCTGAACTGTGCATTTGGGGATTTTCAGATTTGGAGTGTTCACTGTTTTTAAGGCTCTCCTTGGTCATATTAATGGTAAAAAGGACTTTTAGGCACAGTGACTGATATTGGGAAACACTGCTGCAGGGAGAGGGCCCTTTATTCTCATACCCTATCATGGGTATGGCCATGAGACACCCAGGCTCCTGAGACTTGTGTCTCCCCAGACTGAGCTGCAGGAGGTGCTGGGTGCAGATGAGGAGTCTGGGCCACTGGATGATGATAAGACAGCCAGCCCAGGTGGCTCTGAGGAGGAGAAGGGACCAGAAAACTTTGAACCTCCAGGGCAGACAGCTCTACTAACAGCTTCAGTCCCAGCAGCTCAGGTAGGTTCTGGAGGGATCTTGTGTGCCTTTGATGCCCTTCCGTATCTGTGTATAACACGCATGTAGCATGGCTTGCATAGGAAGGCTGCAATAACCCTTTCCAGGGCCCTCCAGCAGCTGCCCCAAGCGGAGACAAAGCCTGAGAAACTGCTTGGTGGCTGGCCAGCCTCAAAGGCCTCTCTGTTCTCCCAGACCACCCCCTACAGCCATTTCCTGGCTTCCACAGATTGTCCAAGGCCTCTGTGTTTGCTTCTGATATGGCCTCTGGCCTCTCCAGTGAGTCTTCGCCTCGTACCTTGAGGCTTTTAGGCTCTTCCTTCTCCTTGAATCCAAGAGCTCCATTTTCTGGGGCAGCTTCCTTGCAGGGAGGGAGCAGCAAGGGCCTAGCTGGCCCTGGAGTGGCCATGCCCTGAACTGAAGTATCTACAGGCTGAAGGGCCTCGGGGGCTGCAGGCTCTTCTGGAGGATCGGATCCGCAACTACCGGGAGGCTGCAGCCAGTGCCAAGGAGGCAGGTGAAGCAGCCAAAGCCAGGCGCTGTGAGCGAGGCCTAAAGGTGGGTTGGGCCTTGCCAGAGAGCAGGGCTTTGTGGAGGGGGGCAGAGGACAGTGGGTAAAGCAGCAAGAGGGGAGGCCTCCCCACCAGCCTTATGGACGTGAAGGATTCTTGGCCTGTCTTCAAGCAGGGTTCAGGCTAAGATGGCTGGCTGGATTTCTGGGTTTTCTGTCTCAGACTCTGGAGTCCCAGTTGGCTGCTGTGAGAAAAGGCAGGAAGATCAGTGAGGATGAGATTCCACCTCCAGTGGCTTTGGGCAAGAGACAGCTGGCTGCTCAGGAAACAGCTGACAGGAGCTCTGAGGCAGATGCCCCAGCTCCGTGCACCATGGAGCCAGGTATTGGAGACCTTCAAGTCCTGTCCTAGTTTCCAGTCAGAGCCTATGGCCCACCTCCCCATCCTGCCACTGTCCATTGTCATCAGATGCACCTTCTCTGAAAGGTTCTCAGGCCAGCCAGACCTGTAGGCAGTAGGCACTGGGAACCCAGGATATGCACCTTCTTTGACCCTCATGCGCCCTCTGTGGGCTTTTTGTTTCTTAATAGACAACCCCTGCCAGCCTGAGACAAGCCTCTTCGGCAGTCCTGGCATTTCTGCGCCACCTGATTCAGACCCAGACCCACAGGCCCTATTGTCGGCCCGACAGAGAGAGTACAAATTGGCTGCTCTGAATGCTAAGCGAGCTGGAGACCTAGACCGTGCCCGAGAGCTCATGAGGATTGGGAAAGTATGACGTCTAACTCAGAGGATCTGTGTTCAAGCCCTTGTTTCATATAGGGCCACAGTGACCGGGGTGTGAGGGGTGGGTCAGGAGGTTGGGGTTCAGCCCAGGGTTTCCCTGGCTTTATGCCCACACCTGCTTTTCCTACTATAGAGATTTGGTGCAGTCCTGGAGGCCCTGGAGAAGGGGCAGCCCGTGGACCTGAGTGCCATACCCCCACCACCTGACGGTCAGTATGGGGCCAGTGGGGTGGGGCCTGCTCAAGCTGAGGTTGGGAGGGATTTCAGGACTGGGGCTGCCCAGGGACCCCCCATTTACACCTCTACTTTGGGTCCCCAGACCTGAAGCCCCTCCCACAGGCTTCCAAGGCCCTCACAGCACCCTCAGTTGTACCCCCAGCAGTGGAGCGAGTGCAGCCGGTGATGGCCCCTGACACTCCAGCAGCCCCAGGTAGGATGGGATGGTGGGACTGTGGAGTGGGGACCTGGAGAGAGGAAGCAGAACTGATGCCATCTCCTGTATCCTTCAAGTGGTCCCTGCTGAGCCACAGACGGTGCTGGATGCCCTGCAGCAGAGACTGAACAAGTACCGTGAGGCAGGCATTCAGGCCCGGGGCAGTGGGGATGAACGCAAGGCCCGGATGCATGAGCGCATTGCCAAGGTGGGCCCACAGCTGCACAACTCCTGCCCTGTGTCAGCCTTCTGTTGTTGCAGTTAGCCCTGGTCTTTGAGTCTCCGTCTATCCGTCTCTTTCTGGACTTCCGACTGCCTCTGGGGTCTTTTTCCTTCTTGGACTGCTTTCAGTTTTCCTCTCCCTGTGTGGGGCCTGCAGACTGCTGCCCACTGTAAGTCCCTCCCTTCCTTCCCTTGCAGCAATATCAAGATGCCATTCGAGCACACCGGGCAGGACGGAGAGTTGACTTTGCGGAGTTGCCTGTTCCTCCAGGTGAGTGGGGCTTGGCCTAGGGGCTGTTTGAGGAGGTTTCTGAGAAAGAAAGGGGGGGAAAAGGAAATGATTTCTCCTGTATCTGACTCTACTCTGTAGAAGCCACCTATCCCAATAATGGCCAGGAAGACCCAGCCAAGGCCCACAGCAGCCTGTGCTTCCCCTATCCTCTCCCAGCTGTCTTTTTCTTCCACAGGATTCCCCCCTATTCCTGGCCTGGAGCCTATTATGGGCACTGAGGAGGATGTAGTGGCAGCTACTTTAGCAGCTGCCCAGAAACTGGCTTCCTCAGAGGATACAGCCCCAGCAGAGGAAAATGAGGATGAGGATGAGGTTTGGCTGAGGACCTGGGACTTCCAGGGGATGGTGGGGGGAAATCCCAGATGAGGGATAAACCCAGAACCTGTTGTTGTTCATACTAACAACCCTGGGGAGGTAGGTATGCTTTTAACCCAGCTAGGAGTTAACAGAGCTAGATTCAAACCAGGCTCTTTCTGACTCCAGAGCCCTGGTTCAGTCCACATTACCCTGCTGTTTTCTACTGGGGAGGTTTTGAGGCTGCTTCCAGCTCTGGGATTCCCATGAAGGGAAGCTATGCAATTCAGGTTACATAGCAAGTTAGTGCAGCCTTAGGAAGACAGCCTGGGTGGGGAACAGATTCCCTGTGACAGCTTCCTGGGAACCTGCAGGATAAACCCCCAGCCCAGGCCCCAGTGGCCAAGAAGCCAGCGCAGCCTATGGTCCCTTCATTCCGTGCCCTGCCAGAGACCAAGGCCTCAAGTTCTAAGGAAACACTGAGTCCCTCCGGTGAGTTGGGGAGAAGAGGGATCGAGGGGTGAAGGCTGTAGTAAGGGACAGGCATGGTTCCAACTATTATCCCTCACCCTTCAGTGTGCGAGCAGCTGGCATTGCTAGAGGCACGGAAACTGCAATACCAGCGGGCAGCCCTGCATGCCAAGCGTGCCCAGGACCTAGAGCAAGCCAAAGCCCGTCTGCGGGTAGCCAAATGCCTTGAAGCTCAGATCACCCAGGTACGAGCTGGGCGACCTGTGGACCTCTCGAAGGTGAGTCTCACCTGGTTAAGCAGCTGGACTTCTCAGGCAGAGGAGGCATTGGCAGGCTTGACGGGCAGGGCTGTGAATGAAGCAGCTGCTTGGAAGGGATGGGATGCAGATAGGATGTGGTGACATCTGGGAAAGAGCTTGTTGCTTATGCCGCTCTACCCAATGGCCCTAAGAGAGACCAGGGAAGGCTAGATGGGCTGCCTGTGGTCAGAGGTGATGAGGCATGGCAAGGGTAGTGGAAAGCAGAGTATTGCAGCAGCGTGAGATTGAATGGGAGGCAGTGAGTTCCCATCACTGGAGGTTAGTAGAAACTAGAGAAACATTTCATTTGGATTCTGCATTTGTTAGACTCAGTAGAGGAATAATCTGACTCTTGGGGCCCCTGAGGGGCCTTGTGACCTGGGCAGGTCCCTTCACCCTTGACGGATGAGGAGGGTGACTTTATCCTCATTCACCATGAAGACCTGCGACTTTCCCAGAAGGCTGAGGAAGTATATGCCCAGCTACAAAAAATGCTTCTGGAGCAACAGGAGGTCAGTGAACTGTTTGTCTGTCTTCCCTGTTCAGTGCCCACAGCCTCCTTTGGGGTAAGGTATAGGGCCCAGATCCATATTCTAGTTCTTCCACTTACTGGTTGTGTGACCATGTGTAAAATATAGATGAGAGGAGGAAACTTTTAAGGGAGATGAATATACATGTATATTTTTGTATGGGTATATCTGAACTGTGTCTTTAAGTGTGCTTGTGAAGTGATGTTTCTATTGGGTTTTGAAGGAAAAATAGGAGTTTGCTAAGTGAATTTTGGGAAATGCCTATTCCCAGAAAAGGAAATAGCAGAAACTTAGAACAATGTGTGGAACTTGCAAACAGTGGCCTTGGATACAGTAGGTGTTGGGAGAAGGGGTGAGGCTACAGAAGGTTGGAACTTTCAGAAGTCAGGCTTCAAATGCCAACCGAGACAGCCCCACTATGGGCTCTGCAGTCACTCTGGGCCCTTATTTTCAGAAGTGTCTGCTATTCTCCAAGCAGTTCATGCACCAGGGCAATGTGGCCGAGACTACACGGTAAGTGCAAGGCCTTGGGGGGGCTTATTGGGTGGGAAGGAGAAAGTGAGCCCTACAATACTGACATGCCCATCCATCCCTATCAGGTTTGAGAAACTCGCTCAGGACCGTAAGAAGCAGCTTGAGATCCTGCAGCTGGCCCAGGCCCAGGGCCTTGACCCTCCAGGCCACCACTTTGAGTTGAAGACATTCCAGACTGTGAGGTGCCAAAAGCCCAAGGGAGACAGTGGCTCCATGCAGGAGTAGGACAAGAGACTGGAGACATAGACCCCTATAGTGAGGCTTTCAGGCTTGGCCTGGCCATAGGCACTGGGGCTGGGGGAAGTGGGTTTAGCTACCTGCCTGTGAGAAGCTCAGAGCTGGGTCGTGGCTGTGGAGGGAACTCTGGACTGGAGGTCATGTAAGTCTGAGGTCTGTATTTCAGCTCTGCCACTGTTAGCCCAGACAAACTTTGCTTCCCTGGGCCTGCTGTCCTAACTACCTCCCCACTGGGCAGGCAACAGGCACTGGAAGAGGGGACCTTTTCCTGCCACCTTCCTTCATTTTGTGCTCTCTCCTTGCTTCTTGGCTATAGGATCTTCTCAGAACTTAACAGCACAGAAATGCATCTGATCATTGTCCGGGGAATGAACCTCCCAGCCCCTTCAGGTAGCCCAAGAACCACCCTTACTCCAGGCTGTTGCCCAGATACTTCATCCCCAGTCAATAGAGAGGCACTGGCTTACCCTCCATATCAAACACTAGTCTCCGTGGTACTCCTTCTGACCCTGACTCTCATTTCTCCTTCATAGGGGTGACTCCTGATGACTTGGATGCTTTTGTGCGGTTTGAATTCCACTATCCTAACTCGGTGAGGTTCAGGTAGAGGTAGGATCCCTGACCCCTATCTTCCATTTCCGGACCCTGTGCTCAATTTCTCTGCATGGGAGGTCTGGCTACAGTGAGAGGTTTGAAGAGCCTTGGAAGTATTCTTCACAGTGGACAGTCACTTCCCTTAACACTTAGCCTACAGTTCTTTGCCCTACACAGCTGTTTTTTCAAGCTGTCCTGACCTCTCCCATCTTACTGCTTTAGGACCAGGCTCAAAAAAGCAAAACAGCTGTGGTGAAGAACACAAACTCTCCAGGTGAGGACCACTTTCTCTTCCCTCTTGTTCTCCGATAGGTGTGCAGCACTTTTGGTTTCAGAGTGTTTTCAGATCTGTTAGTTGGTTTACTCAACTTGGGACATAAAGGCAGTTGGGGAAATTGAGGCTCAGAGAGGTATAGAGACTTGCCTAGGGCCCCAGAGCAAGGAGGTGGTGGAAAGGAGACTTGAATCCCATTTTGGTATAATCTGTGTCTAATAAAACTACAAAAATTGTCCGAGTGGACTTCTAAGGCCAGGACCTAAACATTTGCTCTACCACTCTCTGATGCAGTCCCTTTGAATTGCAGGCAGGGGGAGGGGAGGCCAACTCTGGACCTCTGTTTCCACTTCCTCAGGAAATCCCTGGGAGCCCAAGCCACTTCTTGTCTTCTCCCATTCTTGCAGAATTTGATCAGCTGTTCAAACTAAATATTAACCGAAACCACCGGGGCTTCAGGAGGGTGATCCAAAGCAAAGGAATCAAGTTTGAAATCTTCCACAAAGGGTGAGGCCAGGGTCAGGTACATTGCCAAGATGGGTTGGGCGAAAGGAAGGGCTTCTGTTGCTGCCCCTACTGCTATTCAGTCTTCCTGCAGTGGGCACAGCCAGCTCATTCCTGCTTCCCCTGCTCTTCCCAGTCCAATACCCTGCTGATTCTTGGTTCCCCAGATCGTTCTTCAGAAGTGACAAGCTGGTTGGCACAGCCCACCTGAAGCTGGAGCGGCTAGAGAATGAGTGTGAGATCAGAGAGATTGTGGAGGTAGGTTGGGCAAACCAGACCACTTGGCAAATAAGAACCAACATTCACTGAAAATCACTCCCTCCTGTAGGTTTTTTTGTGCCCATTATTGAAAGAATATCCACAGATGTGCTGTAGACTAGGTGCTATTCCCATTTCACAAATATAGAGATTCAGAGGGTTTGAGAAAATTTCATAGCATCACAGGAAGCAGTGATAGTCTTTCCACAATACTCGGAGTCACCTAAACTCCCAGATATGTGGATTAGAGGGCTCTTGAGGGGTCTGATCATTGCTGTCAACTTGGCATACATAAATTTCTAGGTTTTAGGAGGCAGAGTTGTGGGTGGGGCATTTATCTAGCCAGCGTGAACAAGTGGAACAGGCTCTGGACATAAAGTTGATACGGAAGTTCCAGATTGGGGACCCACCAGAACGCAGCTAGTCTGCGTTTAGGAATTGGCTCCAGACACCTCCTTAACCTTATGTGAACTTATGTGAATTTCAAAGGCAGGGACTCTGAGAGCTTATCTCTGACAGGTGAGGAAACTAAGGTCCAGTGACAAGGGTGTTCCATTAAGTACATATATTGTGTCTCTGGCAGACCTCAGCCCAGATCCTTGCTGATGCCTTTGTAGGGAGAGGCTTTTCCCCACTACAGTGTGCCTGACCTCACTCCCTGCCTGTTTGGGGGGACCAGGGAGGGATGTTCTTAAGCAGGGTCTGCTCTGTGTTGGCCACACTGCAGGCAGACTTCTTGAGCCTGTAGTCCTTTGTACTCCAGCAGCCCAGGCCCCTGCCTAGAAGGAAGGAAGCAGTGTAGTGGGTAGAAAGGAACTCTTGGCCTGGGTTCTAGTCCTGGCCTTGCCACATGGTGGTTTTGTAGCCTTACCATTCACTTCTTTCTGAGCCATCTGTGAAGTATGGGTTTGGGCTTAGTGGTTTTCAGGCTGTAGCATGAAGCCAGAGCCTTTTTTCCAGAAATTGCCGTGAGGAAACTGGGCAGAACTCTGGGTTTCTCATCTGTACTTTAGAGCATTGACAATTCTTTGGATTTACATGTGACTTTTTGTAAGACTTACCTAAAACCACCAAAAAGCAGAAGGGCAGGGTTGTCATGGAGACTCTTGTGTTGACACCGCAGGACACTTGAGCTCCTTTTTTTCCTGGCCTATGAGCATAGGGAGTGGTCTGCTCCCAGCCCCTGGCCCATCTCACTCACCATCTCCCTCTGTGATCCTCACAGGTCCTGGATGGAAGGAAGCCCACTGGGGGCAAGCTGGAGGTGAAAGTGAGGCTGCGGGAGCCTCTGAGTGGCCAGGATATGCAGATGGTAACTGAGAACTGGCTGGTCCTGGAGCCCAGAGGCCTTTAAGGTGGGCAGCGATCTAAGTCCTCAAACTTCTGCCCTCAGAGACCCTTCAGTACTCCTCTCCTATCTGGGGAGAAGACCTAGGAATTTCTCATCTGTGGGGACCAGGAGGCAAAACTGTTGGGTAGGGCTTAGGCTGAGTTTCTTACGATCCTCAAGAGAACTGGGAAGGGAAGTTATTAACCTTCCAAGGTCTGTCACAGGCAATTTTTTCTAAACTCTGCATATTCACTGCAGTTTAGACTTACTACGTATGTTTTGTGCCCTTGTGCAGGAGACTGTCAGTATTGAGAGAGGACTCAGGCCAGCAACTGTGTGCAGGAGCACACTTTTCCCAGCTTTGCTGGCTACAGAAGCCTTTGTACATAGTAAGGAAGATGCTGCTACTCGAGCACCAAAGATCTGTTAAGTATGTGCATTAGTGACCACACAGTGTGGTCTTACCTGTTGCTGGCCCCTCCCTGAGCCTCTATGAAAGCAGACTGGATTCCAGGAGTCCCCTCACCCTTCCCCTGCCTCCCCCTCTGGCTGGGAGAAGGCAAGGATAGCCTCATCACCCTTTAACCTGTGTTTAGCAAGTGTATAGCTTACCACAGCTCCCAGTTGCACCATTTCTGAATGTGCCTTTAAAAGATTTAACTAAGGGATGGGAGAACTTGAGGATGATCAGGAAGCCCCCCGCCTAGGGTGCAGGCAGAATTCCGTGACTCCTGCTTGGTCAGTGGCAGCCTATCCCACATGACTCCCTTTACCCCAACTGTGCCAGTGCCTTGGTTCCTGACTGCTGCTGCACTAGCCTCCCTGCTTCCCAGAGCTCTGTGGAGGAGGGAAGTTACATTCGGGAATGTGTGGTGGGAAGTAAGGGTGAGGAGGGATCTCGAGTTTGGTCCATGCACCTAAGACTAAACGACTGTTAACTGGAAGAAAAAAAAATACATATATATATATATGTAATTTTATGTAGGTGTTTTTATTTAAGAAAACTAGGTCTAATTCATTATAGGGGTTTTACACTCTATATGCAGAGTAGTCATCAAAGTCTTAAATAAGAGCCCTATTCCCTGTCACTTTTAAAGCCAGAGTGGCAGTAACATTTGTTAACTGACAAACTGCTGCTAAGGCTTCCTCTTTTGAGAGAGGGCAAGGGGAAGCCTTATGTCTTCTGAGGATCAGAGAGAGGAATCCCTTAGTTCCTTCCCAAGAGATCCTTCTTTGGCTTTTTCTAAATGGATGGAGACAATGGAGGGATTTGTAGATTACAATAGATTTAATATTCAAAACTGCAATATTCTGCATTTCTTAGAAATCTCCCCCTTTTTTGAAGCATTAACTTAGGTTCAAGAAAGCATTCCTCCAGATTTTTTAAAGGCTGTGAGTGAAGCAGATACATTCAGCTTACTGGTTGCTATAGTATTGCGTAAGCACAGCTCAGGGATTGAGCTTTTATGTGTCTTTTTCCAGGTTAGGGCTGGACCATGCTTCCTTTCCTTAGAAGACTGTAGCTGTTAGTGGATAACAGAACAGGAATGACAAATGACTTCTTCTAAAAGCTTTCTGGCCAGTCTTACCTATGTGTGCACTACCAACATTTCCACAGATGTGAGATTTAACACTTAATTGCAGTCACATCTGTGCATCAAACAAGCAGTAATCTAGAATGAAAGGGTTGTTGGCCTTCATAAGGTGACCAAGGGCAAAGAGGGGTGGTCAGGAGGGTTCCTGACCCAACCTCGTCTTCCCCCTAAGGGTTTGCACCCAACGTGGTGCTAAGAGGGCCACATGGACAGCTGTGGCTGTTTATCCTCAAAGGTTTCAACAACCAGCCCTAGGAATTTTTAAAATCAGGCCTCTGCTGGAAATGCCCTATTCCAATGTGACAGGAACTTTTCTGTGCCTCAAAGATTTCCTTTCACAACCTGTTCAACTTCAGTCTGTTTCATTGCCCTTTGCTTTTGGAAAACAGAACCTCCAGGCCAAAGGCAGCAAGACAAAGCCGCCCACTGGGTTTGGAAACTGAGATTCTTAAAAGGTCTTTGTTGCAGCCAAGGCATGCAGGGATCATTGGTAGTGGGAGGAGCCTACTCAGCCTCCTTGTCCCAAGATTTGTCCTAATGTAACAACCAAACATCAGAGATCAGTGATTCTTGGGCAGTTGGGAACCAACCACAGCCCAAGTAGCTTTACATTTTAAATTCTCTATCTAGTGCAAGACCTGCTTTCTTCAGAATTACTGAACAAAATATGGAATAAATTTTTTTTTAGAAATTTCTTATTAAAGGGCAAAATATTTTGTGACTTTAACATTACTTTCCCTTTCTTATAGCACCATTGTGAAACCTGCATAATTACTTCCAAATTCTGAGCATGTTTTCTAAATGTTTCTGGCCAGCTCCAAAAAGATCTTGTCCCTTAAGTAAAGATAGCTCCTTTCAGGATGAGACTGGTAGAGCCAGGGAACTTGCACCTGGTCCAGCTTCCCAAGCTCTAAACTGGGCATTATCATTCCTGCTCTACTCTTTCTTTATCAGTCCCTAAAAATCTCATTACATTATTAAAATAGAAGCCACTACCACAAACATGTTATAGAAACAATGTTCAGATTCCTTAATGATTAAAACACATTAGATGCAAAAATTATTCCCCAGTGATTAGTTATGATAGAAGTAAATCCATTTGGAAATTTGGGGCCCACCAGCATCAAGAACCACTGTGGATAATGGAAAACACTAGATGCAAAGTTTCTGTAGCCCTGGAGACCAGCAAGTGCTCAGAAAGTGTTAATAAAAATACTTGGAGAAATTACATTGCTTGGCATTTCATTAAGAATTCAATAATTTTGAAAAATTTGGTAAGTTACCAGAATGACAATTCTTTTTTTTCCTTACAAGGATCTATCTCATTCTTTATATTCTAGAAAATTTTTACTTACTTAGAAATGTGAGGGTTTAACCCTCCACTTGATAGAATTCTTCTACAATATATAAAGATAAAACAAGGGAAGAAAGTAAACTAACTTTGATTACGCTCAGTTCCACAAGATGATTTTACTAAACATAAAAGATTTTATATAGTTGAGAACAGACTTGACCCTGCAGGTCCAGAGCTTGTCTTTTAGTGGGAGAATTCAAAAGCTTGTACTGATCCAGAAAAAATAGATAAAACTGCAAAATGTACTGAGCAGGAAGAAAGATCAACTTCTTTTTTTTAACATTTTATTTGAGAGAAAGGGAGACATAGAATCTGAAACAGGCTCCAGGTTCTGAGCTATCAGCACAGAGCCTGACATGGGGCTCAAACCCACGAACCATGAGATCATGACCTGAGCCGAAGTTAGATGCTTAACTGACTGAGCCACCCAGGCGCCCCAAAAAGATCAACTTCTATAGGAAAATTGAACCAGCTCCTGTAGAAGCTCTAAACTTCTCAGGTGTAGGTAGACCATGCTGGATGTTATACCCAAAATACCTGCCCCTACTGTTTCCTTCCTATCAAGTTTAGTGGGTGGTGGTTCTAGGGCTCAGTCTTTGCAAACTGGTGTGCTGTGGGCACCAACTGTTTTTGTCTTAGAAGTTTTGAGTCCCTTTGAATCTATGGGGAAGGTCACAATCAGAGATCTCTGCAGCTACCATCAATAAAACTTATGGAGAAACAGACATAGAATGTGGATCCCCACCACCATGGAAGAGGAATAAACCTAGCTAAACACACTCAAATGGCCAGGCTCCTAGGCTTCTGTTTGGAAAACTGCTCTAATTGCCAAGTGCTAAACCCAACTTTAGCTGCTGGGGAGAAACCTCTCCCTGTTCCAGAGGCCTGCATGAACTTCTAATGTATTCTTAGAGCTATATTTTTAGTGCAGAGGGACTGACTCCTGCCTCTGGCTTGGCTAGAACTTCAAGAAGATGGCAGTAACAAAGGAGTTGCCCTAGACCACTATTTTTCAAATTGAGTTGCAAAATCCATTTGATCTGTGACTAAAAAAATTTTTAACAAAAGAGTAATTGGAGCGTATCACATATATCAAGGGTAAACCTAACCTTGGATTCTAATACCACTCCCAGTAAAAGAAACCGTGGCTCCGAAGGTGAGGCAGGGTAAGCTAAAGATGAGCTGGAGCAAGCATCTTCTTAGGCTAGAAAAAGAAATGTTCAAAAACATGGTGGGAGCATATAACAGGGATGTAGGAGCTAGCCTGAAGGGGCTCACTGGCCAAAGCTGAGCACCAAAATAATGAGAACCACTCAAAAAGTGATCCATGAGTCCATAATGAAAATTAATGAATAAATAGGAAAGAAGGAAGAGCTTTTGCTTATAGATGACCAAGTGTAACTGCTAAAGGTAGAGTGCTAGAACTGAGAAACCATTCTGTAGCCATCAGTGGATGCTAAATCTAAGGGGAGATTTTTGATAAAATATTTATATGATCTGAAAATGTCTTTACACATATTGGTTGTTCATTCCAAGAGGAAAAACAGTGGAGAAACTGCACAGAACCCTGACCAGGTGATCAAAATTTACCATCAATGAGCAGAACAGATCCCACATGACCCTAGATGTGAGGCCCTAAAAAAGGACACAGCAACTCAGGATTCTGGCCAAGAATTCATAAAATTCATCTCATAATTATGAGAAAACACCAAACAAATGAGGCATTTTCTATTAAAAAATGGGGTGGAGGATCCTATACTCACCAAAAACATCAATGACACAAAGTAGCTCAGAAAAGCTACTTGCTGAGTCTGATCCTAGACTGGAAGCTTTACTGCAGGGAAAAAGGCTATGAAGGGCATGGCTGGAGAGGTGCTAGGTTCAAGTGTCCTATTAATGTTAAATTAGCTGAAATTGCAGTTATGCAGTAAGATGTCCTTGTTTGTAGAAAATGAACATTATTTAGGGGTAAAGGACTATGATATATGTAACTTGCTCTCAGATGTCTTAATTTTTTATGGAGAGAGAAGGATAAAGCAATTATGACAAAATGTTATTAATATGTGAACAGGTGAATCTAGGTAAAGCATACATAGGTTTTTTTTTTATACTTGCAACTTTCCTGGAAGTTTATTTCTCAATTTTTTTTTTTTTTTTTTTTTAGAAACGTCTAGTATATAACTAAAAATGTCTTGAGTGTATTCTGTTTCCACAGAAAGACTCAGTTCAGTACCTGCCATTCACTCGGGCAGATCTTGAGTAATCCTGAACTTGGCTCTGCTATCCAAGTGACCTCATTTACAGAGTCGTCTTTCCTTGGATAGAAGAGATAATCCGCTGGGTCTTTGATTCACTTCAGTGGATAATCTGGTAAAAAACAAATAGAAATCTATGTGTGAATTCTACTTGAAGTCACTGTGATGTAACTGGGACAAAATCAGTGCAATTCTCCCTTTTATATCAATTCTGTACAAAGAATGCAAGACCAATGCTTCATTTTTTATTTCCCCTCTGCCCTCCCAACCCCGTCCTTGGTGATGGTTGTACCCATTTGTGCATTTCTGAGCACAAGACCATAAGTATATCTTAAAACAGGAGCAGAATTTTTGTCTAAACAGTAACGGAAGGGGATTAGCGGCAAGGATAGCATAAACTTGTGCAGTAACAGAAGCTGCCCAGGTCTTCTTGGTGGACAATGCATAGAAGACTCAGAATTATGGAACATCTGTCCCCCCGACTACCCTTTCCCACCCTGGCCCCAAGCCCCCACTCCCACCCCACCCCCCGTTTAATAGTGTTAACAAAAGCTTAATCTTCCAGTTCTAAAGTGCAAATGATTTGGGTATGACTGCTGTTGCAACAGGTCTGAACAGAAAAACAATGGAGTCCTCTGTCTATGCGATGTTTTCCAGAATATAAAAGATGAGTTCCATGACGATGGGGCCCTCACTGAGCTGGCAGGCCCCTCCATGGATCACCGGCACCAAAGCGCTGTCCAGATCGTTCATGTACTGTGAGGGAAGGGGCTGGCCATTGCTCCCTGCTTGATAGCCAACCTAGAGTGCAGAGAGAAGGGGATGATAGGTTACTGGACAGAGAAGGCCTGTTGAGAGGGCTGAGGGCCAAGGAGGATGAGCTGGAAAAGAGAGGTCTTTCTTGGCCATCGGCTAGACATACAGCAATCAGCACAAGGTTCTCCTTCTCTTCCCTGAATTGTCGTTTATTCATCCTGACCTTGACCTTGCCACTTGGTAGCTGTGAGACTTGGACAAGACACTTAACCTGTTAAGGCCTTAGTTTCCCAGGAAAAGGTAGAGGGTTGGGGGAAGCATAGAGAGGTATGGAATATCAGAAACAATACCTAAATCTTTGGTTGTGGAAATTAAAATTAAAAATATATAAGGTACAACTAGCTCCCTAACAGAAACTGAACGTTTGTTCTCCCATCCATCTGTTCACCCATAGACCATTTTCTGAGCACCTACACACATAGGGATTCAAAGATGAGTAACAGGACCCCTGCCCTCAAGAGGCAGCAAAAAGGCCTGTTTCATGTAAGGTAATTCTCCATCCAAGTTATCAGTATCATTTGAGAAAGGACTAGGATACTTCATTCATATTACCCTGATATGCTTATTAGTACCACATTAGGCAAGACCTTAAGTGGAAAATACATACGTTGATTGAAGACTAGTCAGGAAGTGGAGCTAGACACATAACCTTTCACATTTTCCCTGATAGTGACACAACTCTGCCTTAGAGCATTAGTGGGATATGTCACAACAATCCAAAATCCAAACTAAACAGAGATTAGAGTTCAAGGCCACAGGAGAGAGACACTGGGACAAGGCTCGAGGGGGGCGGGGGGGCGGCGGGGTATGGACTGTTACCACAGATAGCATACAAAAACATGAAGTAAACTAGGAAGGGAAGCCTGGCCACAGGCGACCTGAGCTGACAGGAAAACGAGTGGGAAGACAGATCAAGTCCTCATCCACTAACTACACAGAAACGTTGACAGTAAGAAAAACAAACTTTAAGGAGTGAGAGGTGCAGAGGCTTGGCAGCAGAAGCCTTCTGCAGCTGGCTTAAGAACAACACGATAAGGGCATGTGGGTGGCTCAGCTGGTTAAGCAACTTCAGCTCAGGTCATGATCTCAAAGTTCTATTGCGTTCAAGCCCTGCATCAGGCTCCATGCTGGCAGTGCAGAGCCTGCTTGGGATTCTCTCTCTCTGGCCCTCCTCACTTGTGCGTATGCACACTCTCCCTCTCTCTCTCAAACTTAAAAAACAAAACAGGATATGGGACAGCTTGGAGTCTGCTGTCTAAAGGTGGCAGAGCAACTCCTGAAGAGTGGAACTGGGGAGTCTCAAAGAGGAGCACTGATGCCATTCACACCGGTGGCAAGTCCTCACATACACACATTCCCTCCTTACGCCACACTCACAACTAAATCCTTGGAAGACATTCAGATGAAGAAGCCAAGATTCAGATGGTTCAGAGAGAGTCTCACCAAGCAGCACATCCAGTTATATCACTAACAGAGGCAAGGCCAGAAGGCCCAGAGAATTAAGTTCTCTGGGTTGATGCAGGAAAAATCACGTCAGGAAATCTAGACACTGCTCAAGCCCAGCTTCCAAGAAGCTGCTGCTTCTTACCTGATCTGAGTCAAGTGTCACACGTAGGCCTAGTTTCGTCATTCCATCTTCCTTCAGAAGCTTCAAGTGGGGACAGAGAGCAAGGCAAAAAGCCTTGGCAACATGCTCAGTCAGTCGGCTATGATCTGCAGGATCACTCAGGCAACTGTGCTGGTCATCGTTTTCCAGAAAAAACACCTGTTCCCCAAACAAAAGAGACTTTCAGCTTTGCACCCAAGAGATGTGCATGAGCTCACTGTGTATGAGCACCCTGATCCCCTACTGTGCAGGAAGACCTGACCTATCTATCTCCCTGGTTTCAGCCATGGTCATAATGGTATGTTCTACTCAGAACCAGAAAAGGTTTACATTTAGCACTGTGCACTTCTGAAAGGTAATCCTTATACGTGCACAGTCTTCTTAAGAAATGATCTTGGGGGGTGCCTGGGTGGCTTAGTCGGTTAAGCGTCCGACTTTCGCTTAGGTCATGATCTCGCGGTTCGTGGGTTCGAGCCCCGCGTCGAGCTCTGTGCTGACTGCCAGCTCAGAGCCTGGAGCCTGTTTCAGTCTGTGACTCCCTGTCTCTCTGACCCTCCCCTGCGCACGCTGTCTCTCTCTCTCCTAGAAATAAATAAAAAATATTTAAAACAAAAAACAAAAACAAAAAAAACAATGGCCATTTAGTAAATATAGCTATTTTAGGTATACAACAAGTTTCATTATTTTGAATTTGGGACCTAAATTTGAGAAAGGTAAAAATCTAAAGATTGTCAAAATAAANAGTCTGTGACTCCCTCTCTCTCTGACCCTTCCCTGCTCACGCTGCCTCTGTCTCTCTCTCCTAGAAATAAAAAAAAAAAAAAAAAAAGAAATGATCTTGGGATCTAAGAGAACAACTCTTACAGATTATGTGACCCAACACCTTCATGTTACAGATCACTCAGAGAAGAGAAGGGACTTGCTCAAGTGCACAAAAGTCCTGAGAGACAGAGGCAAGGCCAGAGGAATGAGTCTACTGCCTCTCATTACAGAAATCTGACACATGGCCAAGCCACTGCTGAGGCCAGAACTGTGTTAGTGTCCTTGCACCAAGCTGAGCGGTGCACTGGGCAGAATCAGAAGCACAGCAAAATTGGAACTGAGAGACCCAAGTCCTAGTCACACAGAGGAGGATTGTGAGCAAGTCCTTTGACTTATTAATGCCCAATTATGCCTTTGTAAAATAGAAGGCCCCTGTCTTGTGGCACCTGGGTGGCTCAGAAGGTTGAGCATCTGACTTCAGCTCAGGTCATGATCTCGTGGTTCATGAGTTCGAGACCTGCATGGGCTCTCTGCAGTCAGCACAAAACCCACTTCAGATCCTGTCTCCCTCTCTCTCTCTCTGCCCTTCACCTGCTTGTTCTCTCTCTCTCTCAAAAATAAACATTAAAATCTTTTTTTAAATGAAAGCCCCATCTTCTCTTATATTGTAAATTATATAAAAGCATAATAGAGAAGATACAGATATGCAGAAACACCATGGTTATATATACCACCCCCTAGCTTACTGCTCAGTAAGTGGCTTATACTAAGAATACTACAAAGGGGACATTCCTGAAGCCCACGCACTAGTGAAAGTAGCACCGTGAAATGACAAGCAAAGCTCTGCACCAGGCATCAGAAGACCTCTGGGCCCTGCTTTGCCAGGCTTCTTGGAGCCTGTTTTCTCATATTATGCAAATGAGATGGGTCACACTTGCTGCCTCACTGGATTATAGGTGAGCAAAAGGGAGGGAAAAAAATTACTTGTTTGAGTGATAAGGAGCTTCACGTGGTCCAGACTGCACTACTTGAAATGTGTCAAGACTACTGAGCTGCATATGAAAACACTGAGCCTGGTGGTATGAAGGTTAAGTTACTTGGAACAATAGCTCAAGAAATGGAGAACAGTTTCTAGTCTCCTGCTCTCATGACCCAGTATGTGAATGAACTTTAGTAAGGCATTGAACTTCTCTTGGCCTGAGTTACCTTGTGTGTAAAATGGAAAAGCTAGAAGTCACAGAATTAAAAAAAATATATATTTTTGGGGCACCTGGGTGGCTCAATTGATTAAGCATCTGACTTCAGCTCAGGTCATGATCTCTAGGTCTGTGAGTTTGAGCCCTGTATGAGGCACTCTGCTGTCAGCATAGAGCCCAATTTAGATCCTCTGTCCCTTTCTCTCTCTGCCTCTCCCCAACTTGTACTATCTCAAAAATAAACATTAAAAAAAGGTTAAGACTTTTAAAGCTTCAAGGAATTCTAGAGGTCTTATAATTTAATGTATTATTTTATAGAGGACAACGGAGATTCAAAAGAAATTCAGAGATCTATGACCCTCCCTATTTATTCTCAGAGAATAAACTCCTGATTTGTCTGAACTGTACATACATACAGGGTCCCTGCTCCTTTCATTCCCAGGCTAGCCTCTCGTACAGATTTCAAGGGAACATGTAGTGCAAAAGAGCTTAGGAGCTGGCTGGATCTGGGTTTGGATCAGAACTTTGCCATTACTTATTTGCCTTGTTTTATTGGACAAATTGCTGAGTCTCTGAGCTTTAGTTTTCTTATTGGTGACATAAGCCTATTTTTTAAAGACTGTATTATCTAAGATACTTTTAACTGTGAGTACAGCATAACTAGCCCAGCATTCTAAAGAACAAAGATGGTATATACCATTCAGAGATGCATCCTTCTTGAATTCTAATGCAAACAAATCTCTAAAAGCTCATTCACAAGAAAAGAGAGACATCAGATTGCAATAGGCTGTACTTGGTGGCATTTCTTCCTGCTGAGCAGAGATAGACCAGAGGGAATTGGAGTATAGAAGCTTTTCTTTTCTTATTCTCCAGAATCAGCCCACAATGTATGTCTGAGCCTAGCAAAAAGTTGTGCTCAAAGGGAATCAAGAATCCCAAGTTTCAGGGCATCTGGGTGGCTCAGTTGGTTGAACATCTGACTCTTGATTTTGGCTCAGGTCATGATCTCACAGTTGTGACTGACATCGGGCTCTGCACTGAGTGGAGCCTGCTTGGGATTCATTCTTTCTCTCTCTCAAAAATAAAAAATTAAAAAATTAAAAGTTTTTCAGGCATGCGTTTAAAAATAAAAAAGAATGCCGAGTTTCATTTCCTTACCTCTGTCCATCTGATGACTTTTCCATTTGCTTTATACTCTGATCCATGGAATATCTTCACACTTGTTATAGACTCCATGGACTTCCCATCTATAGGACTTATAACACTACAATAGAGGCAAAGGAGAGAGATGGAAGCAGGTCCTGTAGTTAGAAGAATCACTTCTGTTACCAAGTCTTGCTACTAATTACACTAGGCACTTTGCTGAACACATCTGAGCAACACATCACAGCAAGAAGACACTGCACAAAAATGTACATGAATACAGCTCTCATGGGGAGGTCCTGTGCAATGAAATAATTCTAAGAACACATATGAAAAAGGAACCATGATTCCAGGAGCTGGTTCTTTCAATGTAAAAAAATTATTTATTCAAACCTGCTCTCTTCTCCCAGCATTTCTTCCTGCAGTGAATGTGCGGCCACACAATCTCCCTCTCCCCTCTGCTCTGTCACACAGGCTCCGGACAACAATCATATTCACACATTTTTGCAGATCTGCCTCACAGATGAACTTAAGGGGTTGGGGGGGAACACGATACACTCACCTCTGTGTGCTGCATTCCCAGTTCTGACATACTGCTTGGAATGTAGGAGTTTAATAAATGTTTACTGATTAAAAGAATTACTTGACCAGCACGTTAATTATGACAGTGCTGATGTGAGCTCATGAACAAGTGTTTATATTATTATCATAACAAATTCCCTTTAGTGCTAAATTATCACTCATAGATTCCTAAACAGAAAGGCCATTTTTATAGTCATTTCCTCTGCCAAATATAGCAAGCATAAACAGGGGGAGACTCACACTCATTATGATGAAGATTCAAAATAATTATCACAAAGATTCCAAACTCTTCCTAACAAGTTTCAAATGTTTGTTTTCTAATCTCCATGTAAAAAGATCAAGTTGAACTTAAACTTCAATATCAGGGATTCATTTCATTCACTTAACTTAAACTTATTTAAACAACCCATCATTATGACACATAATGTCAACAAGGGCCACTCTTAGTTGATTAGTACTCTTTTAGAGAGGATACCCAGACACTAACGGACAAGCTGGAAAACATTCAATTTATACACTATAAACTAAACCCCTGAATTTGACAGTCCTAACTAGTTCTTGTCCTGTTTTCTAAGATGCCGCCACTGGCACTGGTTGTAGGAAGGGGCAACCTGCGTGTTACCAGTTACTGATACCTAAGGCATCAGATTTTCAGATAATCAATCTTTTTGTCCTCATAACCATGTTCATTTCCAACTAATTAAATACAAATTGATTTTGAAATTAAAATTTCCAAAGAAGTATGTATGGGAAGATAAAGGACTATTTATAAAATAGGCAAATATACTCTCTGATTTTTGTTTAATAACAAAAGTTTTAAAAGATTTTTTAAAAATTGGGTGTGTGCCATGTTGTCTATGCCCTCAATCTGCCTTTGCTCCTGCTATTCCCTCAGACTGGAATGCCCACTCTGCCACAGCTATGTGGCAAGTATCTACTTATCTTACTAAATTCAGCTCAAATGTGGCCATTTCTCTATGCAGGTCGTCTTGAATACCCTACCACCTCTACCAAGCTTCCTCTTTTCTTTCCTATCTTCACTGTGTCCTATAGAGTTTTCCATGAGGATCTTCCATACTTTCATGCACTTATTTGTAACTATCTTCAAAACAAGACTGAGCCACTTTATCAGCAGAGTGTGTGTGGAGTTCATTTTTGTATTTTCAGAGACCTATACACAGAATTATTGCCTGAAGAAAGGAATGAAAAAGGGATGGATGAATGGATAAAAGAAAGCTTAATACAATGATGTATAATATATTCATTCAATCAACCAAATTTTTAAGCACCTACTAGGTGCCACACAGTGTTTTAGGTTCTGGTGATATAGCTATAAATAAACCAGATAAAAATCCTTCCTGTTACGGAGTTTAGAACCCAGGAGCAATATAATAAGTAAAAGTACATTTTATGTGAGAGAATTATAAGTTCTCTTGAGAAATACAATGCAAGGAAGGGGGACAGGAAGTACTGGGGGTGGGAGGGAAGAAATATGTATGGGAGGGTTATAATTTAGATAGGTTGGCCAAGGAAAGCCCTACTGAGAAAACACATTTTAGAAAAAACTTGAAGGTGGTGAGGGGGTGACTCATTTGGCTATCTTGTATTGAGGGCCAGAGTACAAGGTGAAAGAACGGTTAAGAGAAAACGCCAGAGGGCAGAAGTAGGGGTGATGTGATCAGACAAGAAGGCAGATGTTGCTTCTGTGAAGTAAAAGGGTAGACAGATTGTGTTAGGCCTTAGATGTTGTAAATGACTTTGGCTTTTATGCTGCATGACACTGGAAGCCAATGGTGGGTCCTGAGAAAAGAAGTGACATTACTCTGGCTGCTGTACTGGAAACAGATTAGGTAAGGGGGCAGGAGGAGGTCAAGACTAGAAACAAGCAAGCCAATTCAGAAGGCTCCTACAATAATGCAGATCAAATGATGGTGGCCTGAACCAGGATGGTGGCAGTAGAGGCAATGAAAGGTTGTATGATTCTGGATATATGCTGAAGTAAAATATAACAGGATATATAAGATATATACTATAGGGGCCCCTGGGTGGCTCAGTTGGTTAAGCATCTGACTTCGGCTCAGGTCATGGTCTCACGGTTCGTGGGTTTGAGCCCCGCATCGGGCTCTGTGCTGACAGCTAGCTCAGAGCCTGGAGCCTGTCTTTGGATTCTGACTCCCTCTCTCTGACCCTCCCCTGCTCACACTGTCTCTCTCTCTCTCTCAAAAATAAATAAAACATTTAAAAAAAAAGATATATACTATAAAATATAACAGTACCAGGATTTACTATTGGGTTAGGAATAGGATGTGAGAGAAAAAAAGCGTCAAAGGTGACTCCAAAGTGTTGGCTTGAGCCCTCAGAGGAGAGCAGGCCTGTAATGGAAAAGAGTGCAGGACTGGAAGCCCCAGGAGGCATTTTAGGTTCCAGCCCTGCCACTTCCTTACTTTGTGGAGTCACTTAGCCTGCTGGTGCTTGTTTACTCATCTATAATACAGGAAAAACAAGGCTAGTTATTATAGCAAATGAAACAATGTTGGGAAAAGGGCTTTCTCTATAAAACCAGAAAGGGCTTTGGTATTACTATTATCTCAATAACTTTAGAGACCTGTTTTGTTTCATCAACTCCTTCCCTCCTCCCCTCTTCAAAACTATGCAGAGAAACTCCTTCAGAAATTAAGTCAAGAAACTAGAAATTTAAAATTTTATGTTATATAGACACAAAGGTCCTTTCTCTTTGGGCTTTCAGTAAAGTTATAAATACTATTGTAGACAAGGCCCAGAGCCCAGCCCATAACCAAATGTCCCAAGGGGAGAAAGGGGGGAAAACATTTACCCCTTGTTGACATTCTTGTCATCATCCACCCACTGGATGTAGATGTGCTCCTGGGGGTCCTCGGCGTCTGCCTTGCCACAGGTGATGGTGAAGTCCTTCATCTCTCGCAGTGCCTGCCTCAAAGCATCCATGTTCTCTGCTGTGATCTGGACCATAACGCCATCTGAGAATCAGCACCAAGATAATACAGATGGAAACAACGCAAAGCCAGGGAGAGAGGCAGATAAGCCACAGTGCCTGGCAGCGAGCAAATCCCTCTAGGACTAAATGTAAAACTTTGCTTTGCTCTCTAAAGCTGACAGAAAGTTTTGTTCTTTGAGCTGAACCTCTTGCTTTTGAAAGTGCTATGAGGAGCAAACACCAAGATGGCTTCTGCTTAAAACACTTGCCTGCTGATTTCACTTCAGACACGGCTGAGTTCTCCTGAGACTGCTTACGGGGAGATTTACACATGGTCACATCCCTCTTTGGGACTGGGAGAACATTTTGTTCCTCTTCTCACTCTTGCATTTATTATGCTCTAACCATATTTCTGTGTTTGCACCTCTGTCTCTCTCACCTCAGTGATTACCTGGCATACAGTGAATGCTCAGTAAATGTTTGCTAAATAAATCACTGAATAAACAACAGTAGTGGGATAAGTGATAAATCCACATATTGGCTAGCAAGAGGGCAAACCTACCATGTGTGTTTTACACGGGCCTCCATGTAGCCAACACATGGTAACTATCTAGGGGCTGTTACCTACCCAAGTCAAAGGTGGACACCAAAATTCATACCCTGCTTCACTGACACAAAATTTTGTCAACTACAATAATTTCTAAAAAGCTTTATAAAAATTTCATAAACAGGAAGATAATTGCTCAACTGACAGAGTGAAATACAAGAACTAAAACTTCCCAATCCAAAGATAGAGATGTAACTTTTAAACATCTTGCATTTGTAAGGATCTTTGTCCGTTCAAATGATCATTTCCACAATATTTAAAAGATGCTTTTTAATCATCTTTTCAAGACAAGGTTTAAATGTAGACAATACTTGACCACATAGGCATTAATCAGTCACTTAAGACCAAATGACTGTTTAACTCCTAGATTTCTTAACAACTTCTTAACAGCATGCTTCTACCATCTAGTCAAAGTTGTGAAACTTAGTTGTAAAATAGTAAGTGTACTTTGCTCTTCACTTGCTGTTTTATTAAGCTTACCAATAAAGGAGGTCAAAGCCAGTATCTATTAACATATGTAAGATGATCTATGTATTTCAGTTAACACACTGGACTCCACCCCCAGGAAGGACTGCTCTTAGATAGAGGCTGGAGTTAGCTACTGTGGAAATGAGACCTGTCACGTGTGGCAGACTATCCTTTCCAAAGGTGACCACAATATCTCTGACCTCACATGCTTTCTCACAATGCCAGCTTCCTGATTCCCCATTAAGAAATGGAGTCAATTCTTTTCACCTTGAACTGGGAAGGTTTATGACTATTTCCAACACTAGAGTATGGTGGAGGTGACATGGTGTGATTTCCAAGACTATTTCATAAGAAGCAACATGGCTTTTGCCCTTTGCTAGATGTGTGCCTGGAGTTAGAAGTCCAGCTACACCAAGGCCACCATGGCATGCTAAGCGTCAAAGTGTGCATACTCCAGTCACCACACATAGTCTTTCAATCATCCCACGGCCCCAGACATGTGAGTAAACAAACCTTCAGATAGTTCTAGCTCCCAGCCATCAAATCATCCCTACTGAGGCCCTGGACCTAGAGTCAAGCCGTCCCTCCACTATCCTGTCAAGATTCCTGACCCAGAGGAATCAGTGAGCATGATAAAATAGTTGTAAGCCATTAAGATCTGGGTTAATTAGTTCTGCAGCAGGAATAACCAGATCAAAGTAATCAGATCAAAATATAGGAAGAATCAACCGATAAAGAAAATAAACAATATGCATGTCAGCCTTTCATTAACTTTCATTTAATTAGCTTTTTTCAGGACATATGCCATGTCTAATCTAATTACAGGAAACCAGCAGCAAGCACATCCCATTCTGCACCCCAAATAATGACTGCACATTCCTGTGAGTTAAGGCAGACTGAACTTACATGTTTATAAATATGAGCCCAATGATATATTTGAACTCAGACTATGTCCTCTTGGGTACCCTATCCCAGAGCTCTGAAAGGTGTTCTCTTAATTTTTCTGTCACTATCCCCATGATATCTCTACCACTTACTCCCTTCTTTGGAGACCGAAGTACCTATATGACAGTATTAATTAGCTGAGAGAAAGATGCTATTGATACATAATAGGAGTAAGAAGTCTACTGTAAAATGTCATGGTTTCACTTAACATTCCTTGCTTTTTATTTATTCTTTTAAACTTTTATTATTATTCTTATTTTTTACGTAAGCTCTATGCCCAACATGAGGCCTGAACTTACGACCTGGAGATCAAGAGTCACATCCTCTACCAACTGAGGCAGCCAGGCACCCCAACATCCCTTGCTTTTTGAGTTGTATAATTAGGCCTGAACTAAATATAGGCAATAAATAACTTATTCTTTACCTTCCACAATACTGGACTTGGCAAGATATCCGGAAGAAGATTTTAGAGCGCCACTGAACACAAAGAAACTGGCACCAGTCACTAAAATAGTAATATAAATAGTTTAGTGAAGATAGGCCCTGAGATCAAAAGATTCAGAACAATAATGAAATATTTGGTAGTTGGTAACCCTAACCATTATCATACAGAAAACAAAAAACAACGACTCTATACACCACAATATACAAGTAACCAATAATTTTGATGTTTTGGGAATGAAGTTTTAAGATACACTCCTCATTTTGTTTTCCTCTCCCTCCAGTCAAGAATTAAAGAATCTTACAAGCAAAGGAATCTTAGGGGTCCAGTCTAGGGCTTGGCAAACTACAGTCTCTTTGGCCTGCAGCATGTTTTGGCAAATAAAATTTTATTGGAACACAGCCATGTCCACTCATTTACATATTGTCTATGGCAGTTTTTGAAGTATTCCAGAGTTGAGTAATTGGGAACAAAGACCACAGGCTTGTAGTACCTAATATATCACCTAGCCATTCACAGAAAAGTGATGGCTGATCTAATACCTTTACTTTTAGATAAAATATATTTTGAAGATAGAGATATGGTTGGCAACCATTTTATTTACGAGTGTAGTTCTTTTCAAAAATGCAATAAATAGATACCTACTGAAAAGATCAACACATGTTGAGATTACCTCGTCATGAAAAAAAGGATATTTAATTACATTTAGCTTTAAGAAAATTTCAATATGCTCCTCCACATCAGCTTTTAAGATCTTAAAAAATTATTTATTTATGTTTTTACTTACTTATTTGACAGAGAGAGACAGTGAGTGAGCATGTACATACAAGCAGGGGAGATGGTCAGAGAGAGAGAGAGAGAGAGAGAGAGAGGATTCTAAGCAGGCAGAGCCCAATGTGGGGCCAGATCCCATGATCCTGGGATCATGACCTGAGTTGAAATCAAGAGCTGGATGCTTAACTGACTGTGCCACCCTGGTGTCCCAAGATTTTATTCTTTAAAGTAATCTCCACACCCAATTGGGGCTCAAACTTAGAACCCGGAGATCAAGAGTCGCATGGCTCCACCAATCGAGCCAGCCAGGAGCCTCTACGGCTCCTCCACATCTTAAAATGGACTAAGCTAATCCACTTCTTGCCCAATGGCCCTGCAATATCTCTAACAGGTGGACATTCAGCCTTTGTCAAAGACTCCTAGTGACAAGGAACCCATAATGACACTAGGCAGCCCATTCTACTTCTGGATAACTCTCAGCCTTACAGATTGTGCTCTCAAACGGAGTCCAGACCTAGATCCTTGTAATTTTCACCCAATGGTGCTGGTTCTGGCATTTTGTAGCTATAGAGAATAAGCTGAATGTTATTTCCACACACTAGAAAACTTTAAAAATATAGATAGCTATTTTTCACCCTCTGCCAATCTATACTTTTCCAGATTACACATTTATACTGTATTCACAAGGTCTTCTTTTGACCTAGTTTCCAGATTTTTCACAGGCCTTGAATCATCCTTGGAAGAAGCTCCAGTTTTATCAATGAATATGACTAATTGCACTAATGATATCCAGAACTTATTTCAAATATTCCAGGTGTGATCTGACTAACAAAGAGCATTGTGGACTTATCAGCTACCTTATTTTGGATATCATGTTGAATATACATGTGACAAAGACCTTTTATACCTTTACTAAACAATTGATTTACAAAATATATTTTGTAAATCTGAAACACCAGAGAAGTGTTTCATAAAGCATACTAAAGAAATCCAGTTATGGGAGATATTCTGAGGAAAAACAAGATTCACGATCAACTAAATTTGGAAAGGGCCAGGCACTATCTTCCTTTTGGAAAATTGCAAATCGTATCACCTTATTAAAGGCTCTGAAAAGTCCTATAGTGAAGAAATCTGTTTAAACTTGTTTAACCCAGGATTCTCAGTTTAATATACTAATAAGCAAGATTTTCATTTATGTATTTTTTAACACCAAAGAACCTTATAAGACATCTTAAGAAATGCCACCTTAAGCAGTGCTTCTTAAACTTCAATGTGAATTTAACACAGGGACCTTGATAAAATGCAAATTCTAATTTAGCAGATCTGGGGTACAGATTCTTCATTCCTAACAATCTCCTAAGTGATGAGCCCAAATTATGAGTGCCACTGAACCAAGACGACTTCTTTCAGAATTCAGTCAACCTATTTGAGCATTCTTTGGATATGGTTATCCAACAAGTTTCAAATCTACTTAAGTATATTCTCTCTAAGGGGCCTAGTCTCCTACTTTCAAATACCAGTTCTTGGGGCACCTGGGTGGCTCAGCCAGTAAAGCGTCCAACTTCAGCTGAGGTCATGATCTCACGGTTTGTGAATTTGAGCCCCACATAAAGCTCTGTGCAGACAACTCAGAGCCTGGAGCCTGCTTCATATTCTGTGTCTGTCTCTCTCTCTGCCCCACCCCCACTGTGTCTTTCTCAAAAATAAACAAACATTAATTAAAACAAGAAATTAAAAAAAAAAAAAAAAAGACTAAATACCAGTTCTGGCCTTGCCAATATCTCGAGGCAGAATTTTCAACGTTTCCCTCAGTAACAGAGATCTCATGTGCAACTTTGAGTCTGGCTATTTGGGAAGTCAACATAATCTTGGAGAATAAGGATAGAGAGGTTAAATTCATCAAAGTGAATTTAGAAATTCACCTAGCTAGAAAGTGAGAGTTATGGAGCTGAGATATCCAACTTTCCATGTCCAGTATAACCTTACATTCTTACCATGTCAGTCACCTCAAATACTCACCCTTTCTGGGCTGATTGTGAATACTGATAGCCTGGGTCTGATAGTTTCCATCATCATTCTGTACACACACGAGATGAGAGTCTGCCTTCTCATTGAAGCAGGCACCTCCTGCCAGGACATGTTCATTGGACTTGTTCATGGCTTTCATCATCTGCAAACAAAGAAGGTTAACTTTCTTATTCTGTCAAAAACGGGTATTTTTTTGGGTCTCACATAGCACAACTCCTTTACCTCCTCAAAGGCAAAAAAACAAATATTATTATTTATTAAAGTGACAAAGAGGCTACTAAATAATGAAAACAAAGTGAATATCAGTCACCAATAATAAAATAAAAAAATCAACATATAGTGGCACCTAGGTGGCTCAGTCAGTTAAGCTTCGGACTTCGGCTCAGATCATGATCTCATGGTTCATGGGTTGGAGCCCCACGTCAGGCTCTGTGCTGACAGCTCAGGGCCTGAAGCCTGCTTCAGATTCTGTGTCTCCCTCTGTCTCTGCCCGCCTCCCCCCCCGCCCCCATGCTCTGTCTCCCTCTCAAAAATAAATAAACATTTAAAAAAAAAAAAAAGAAATCAACATATACAAAAATACTCTTTATACTTTATAGGTGATTTATATCATAGCCTAAGTAAGCACATGACACATTTGCATTCATTTTTTTAGTCCTTTTGTTGTTGCACTGAACTCAAGTAACATTAGTTAATTACAGTAATTCCTCCTAACCACTAGATTCTCTGAGGACATATACACTGAAATTCTAAGTCAAAAGAATATTCCATATGTATGTGCATCTGCCTTCTTTTTCCGTATTCACACAAAGGAGTGAGGGTTTTCCTCTAGAAATATACAAACTCCATTGTTTCTTAGTTTTACTAACTTCTGTTTGAAATCTTCACAGAAATCACTAATATGTTGCTTTGTTCTCTTTTTTTTCAAGTTTTTGTTTAAATTCCAGTTTGTTAATATACAGCGTAATATTAGTTTCAGGAGAGTTTAGTAATTCATCACTATAAATAACACCCAGTGCTCATCACAACTGCCCTCCTTAATGACCATCCTCTTCCCACCTCTCTCCATCAATCCTCCACTTATTCTCTATCATTAAGAGTCTGTTTTATGGTTTGCCTCTTCCCCCCTCCTCTGTTCATCTGTTTTGTTATTAAATTCCACATATATGTGAAATCATATGGTATTTGTCTTTCTCTGATTGACTTATTTTCCTAAGTATAATACTCTCTAGCTCTATCCACATCATTGCAAAAGGGTACATTTCGTTCTTTTCTTGATGGCTGAGTAATATTCCATCTCTCTCTGTCTCTCTCTGTCTCACTCACACACACACACGCACACACACACATCTTCTTTATCCATTCTTTCCATAATGTGACTATGTGTCCCTTCAAATCAGTATTTTGTATCCTTTGGGTAAATACCTAATACTGTAATTGCTGGATCATAGGGTAGTTCTATTTTTAATTGTGAGAAACTTCCATACTGTTTTCCAGAGTGGCTTCATCAGTTTGTATTCCCACCAACACTGCAAGAGGTTTCCCTTTTATCATCTTCACCAACACCTGTTGTCTCCTGTGTTATTAGTTTTAGCCATTCTGAAAGGTGTGAGGTGCAATCTCATCATGGTTTTGATTTTTATTTCCCTGATGATGAGTGATGTTGAGCATCTTTTCATGTGTCTCTTAGTCATCTGGATGTCTTCTTTGGAAAAATGTCTATTCATATCCTCTGCTCTTTCCTTAACTGTATTATTTGTTTTTTGGGTGTTGAGTTTGTAGTTCTTTACAGATTTTGGATTCTAACCCTGTTATCAACTATGTCAATTGCAAATATCTTCTCCCATTCCGAAGGTTGCCTTTTAATTTTATTGACTGTTTCCTTCACTGTGTGGAAGCTTTTTATCTTGATGAGGTCCCAATAGTTCATTTTTGCTTTCGTTTCCCTTGTCTCCAGCAACATGTCTAGTAAGAAACTGCTCTAGCCAAGGTCAAAGAGATTGCTGCCTGTGTTCTCTCCTCTAGCATTTTGATGGTTTCCTATTTCACCTCTAGGTCTTTCATCTATTTTGAATTTATTTTTGTGTATGGTGTAAGTAAGTGGTCCAGTTTCATTATGCACAATGCTGTCCAGTTTTTCCAACACCACTTGTTGAAGAGACTGTCTTTTTTCCACAGCTAATATAATCCTCAATGGGGAAAAAGTGAGAGCTTTCCCTCTACAGTCAGGACCAAGGCTGGGATGCCCTCTCACCATTGTTATTTAACATAGTACGGGAAGTCCTAGCCTCAGCAATCAGACAACAAATAAAGTTTAAAAGGCATCTAAATTGGTAAAGAAGAAGTCAAACTTTGATTATTTGCAGATGACATTATTTTCTATGAAGAAAACCCAAAGACTCCACCAAAAAATTGCTAGAGCTGATACATGAATTCAGTAAAGTAGGAGGATTCAAAACCAACATACAGAAATCAGCTGCATTTCTATATACCAATAATGAAGTAGCAGAAAGAGAAATCAAGGAATTGATCCCATTTACAACTGCACCAAAAACCGTAAGATACTTGAGAATAAAACCTAACCAAAGAGGGAAAAGATCTGTACTCTGAAAACTATAGAACGCCTACGAAAGAAACTGAAGAGGAAACAGAAATGGAAACACATCCATGCTCATGGACTGGAAGAACAAATATTGTTTAAATGTCTATACTACCCAAGCAATCCCTATCAAAACAACATCAGCATTTTTCACAGAGCCAGAACAAACAATCGTAAAATTTCTATAGAACCAGAAAAGATCCGGAATAGCCAAAGCAATCCTGAAAAAGAAAAGCAAAGCTGGGGGCATTATGATTCCAAACTTTAAACTGTACTACAAAGCTGTAATAATCAAGACAGTATGGTACTGGCACCAAAAAAATAAATAAATAAATAAAAAATAAAGACACATAGATCAATGGGACAGAATAAAAAACCCAGAAATGGACCCACAACTCTATGGTCAACTAATCTTTGACAAAGCAGGAAAGATAATCCATTGGAAAAAGGGCAATCTCTTCAACAAATGTTTTGGTCTGATCAAAAGATTCAAGATAATAATTCTGAACCTAACCTGAAAAAACTCACAGGCTACCATTTTGTATCTAGTAAACAAATATGAACTTAACCTTAATCTCTGGCTTCTGGTTGAAATAGGATAGTGATAATTTGTTTTTTAGGTGTCCTTTTTTTTCTTCATGCCATGCCATTTGTCCACCTTTGTAATCTAATCCTTTAAATGGCTTTAATCTTTCAAAAATCTAGTCCAAAACCTTTGTTTTACTCCCCTCTTCCTCTTATATAACAAACTGTAGTACTAAGTGTGAAAAATACCAGATGAGTGTTCCAATACCTTTTATATTCTTGTATCAATACACTCAAAACAAAATAATGTGAGATGAAATTCACATACATAAAATTAACTGTTTCAAAGCTGAACAATTCAAGGCCATTTAATACATTCACAATGATGTGCAACAGTGACTGTTATCTAGTTCTAAAACATTTCGATCACTCCAAAGTAAAAAAATGTTCCTCTAACCTGTTTCTTCCCATTCCCAAACCTAACCACCAACCTGCATTCCCTGTGCATTTATTCTGGATATTTCACACAAATGGGACTATATAATATGTAACCATTGTGTCTAGCTTCTTTCACTTTAACATGTTTTAGAAGCTCATCCAAGATATATAGCATGTATCAGTACTTCACTTCTCTTATGGCCAAATAATACTCCATTGTGTATGTACTTACACACACAGCACAATTTGTTTATCCATCCACCCATGGACATCTGGGCCATAACCACCTTTTGGCTACTGTGGATTGTAGTACTACTATCAATATATGTGTACCAGTACTTGTTTGTGTAACTGTTTTCTTTTTTCTTTTTTTTTTTTATGTTTTTACTTATTTCTGGAGAGACAGACAGCGTGAGCAGGGAAGGGTCAGAGAGAGGAGACACAGAATCTGAAACAGGCTCCAGGCTCTGAGTTAGCTGTCAGCACAGAGCCTGATGTGGGACTCGAACCCATGAACCGTGAGATCATGACCTGAGTTGAAGTCAGACACTTAATGGACTGATCCACCCAGGAGCCCCTTGTGTAACTGTTTTCAATTCTTTGGGGTATACACCTAAAGGTAGAATTGAGGGGTCATACAGTAATTCTAGGTCTAACTTTTTGAAGAGTTGCCAAACTGCTTTTCATAGTGGATAAACCATTTTCCATCACCAACATAAAAGGGTCCTAATTACTCTACATCCTTGCTGATACTTGTTATTTTCTGTTTTTGTTTTATAGTCATCCTAGTAGGTGTGAAGCAAGTGCCTCATTGTGGTTTTGATTTGTATTTCCCTAGTGACTAATGACATTAAGCATCTTTTTATTTGCTTGTTGGGTATCTGAATATCTTCTTTAGAGAAATGTCTATTCAAGTCCTTTGCCCATTTTTTTAAAGATATACAGTGTTTTTATTAGTTTCAGGTGTACAATTTAGTGATTCAACAATTCCATACATTACCCAGGGCTTATCACAACAAGTGCTCTCCTTAATCTCCACCACCTATGTAACCCGTTCATCCATCCTCCTCTCCTCTGGTAACCATCAGTTTGTTCTCTATAGTTACAGGTCTGTTTCTTGATTTGCTTCTCTTTTTTTCCCCCTTTGCTCATTTGTTTTGTTTCTTAAATTCCACATGATTGAAATCACACTGTATTTGTCTTTCTCTGACTTATTCTGCTTAGCATTATATTCTCTAGCTCCATCCATGTCCTTGGAAATGACCAAGATTTCATTCCTTTTTATGGATGAGTAATATTCCATTGTGTGTGTATGTGTATATATATATATATTCACATATATATGTGTGTGTGTACACACAGACACACACACATATATATATATATACATACATATACACCACTCTTTATCCATTTATCGATTGATAGATATTTGGGCTCTTTCCATAATTTGGCTGTTGTAAATAATGCTGCTATAAACATGGGGTGCATGTATCCCTTTGAATTCATGTTTTTGTATTTGGGTAAATACCCAGTAATGCAGTTGCTGGACCATAGGGTAGTTCTAATTTTAACTTTTT